CTGATGGAATGAAGCAAGGAATAAAATTCTTCTTGCGGAAACAAGACGAGACACTCGAATTAATGCAAGTGTTCCAAGCAAAAACTGAAACGTTCCGTTAAATCTGAACAAGTTCGTACCCTGTAAAATTTAATTATGATCCCCAATTAAAGATTAGACTTGTTCCGACAGTTTTAATTAGAACCGCAACAATTTATTCGGAAGAATATCCGAAAATAAATTAGCTCCCATTGCGTTTTCACACTGGATAACTGTGAAGGGTTTCATTATCAATATTAAATATCTAGAGAGCCGTCTTAGCAGAGACAGTTGAGTGTTGTTTCGGAACGTTGGCCAACCCGATTCAAGAGAAACTTAATAAAGATAATGCCTCTGAACCGGAACAATGAGCAAATTGTAGTTAGTTTCGCCCTGAGTCGCCTTTTGAGAATGGGACAAGACAGAATATACAGCCTACTATTGGATCAGAATATTGGAAATGTTTACTGTAGACACTTTAATTTGTCGAAATGTCGAATATGTCGAAATACCAAGATTTTACTTCAAGAAGCTGTTATTTTTTGTTTGTTTTTAGGAAAGCAAAACCAGTTAAATACAGTTTTAAAAGTCCAACAGTTTTTCTTCATAAAAATTGGCAAAATATTGTCTAGGGATGTCTAAATATGTTGTACAGCTAAAATTGTCGATATATGCTTAAAGTTGTAAATTTAAACAAATATTGTATTTTTTTATATTTCAAAGTATACAAACCATTTAGATAAACGTGATTTCACTATTAGTCCGTTGTAAATTAAACTGGGCGAATTTTGCGCTTTATAAAAATGCGAATAATGATGGAAACTTAACGTTAAAAGCCTAAAAATTCAAACGAAACATCTTACTAATTAGATATTAGTTACATTATACTTAACAAACCAGCAGCTGGTTCTTTTGTGGTTCGGGAATTGTGAAAGCTTCCAAACCCCACAAATCAATCCATAAGGGTATAATTAGTTTTAAATAAATAGAACATAGGAAGCGGAAAATTTCTAAAAAAACAATATTAGACATAAAATGTGTAGAAAGAAGAAAATGAAAATGTGCTATAATCAAGAGCAGGAGGAAAAAGACTGGAAAATATCACCAAAGAAGTATCAAAACTCACAAACTTTAAATAAATAAAACGTCAAATTTTAAATATACTAAAAACAATCACTTTATATAACCTGTCGTGCAAGTTGTTCAGTCCCAATGCAGGAATGTACACTATTATGAAACCCCGGCGCTTTTCTTCGCGCTTCTTGAGCACTCCCTTGAGCACTTGATGTTTTACTAACTTTACCAATTAATATTTTTAAACCTTGTACTTTATTATCCTTAAAGGAATTATTCCGTTGAAGATAATTGTTCCAGAAAGAGCATTTTAAACTGGAAAGGATTATAACTCTAAGAATAATTTGAAGAAGTTAAAAACTTAATTTGTGATAAATCTTGAACTACCGAGAATGAAATTATATGTAAAATAAAATCTAAGCTAATCTGAAAGAAGTTTAGAGGACTTTTTTACACTAAACAACACTTTTTGGACTAAGCCTATATTCGTCTTTGTGGTTGTCATTTAGGTAGTAATACCAAATGAACAACAATTAATTGAATTTAGTTAGACCACATAACATAAATGTGAAATATATTTAAAATAACGATAATAATTCATAGCATTTAGAATTACAAGGGAAAAGCTTTCTCAATATCAATAGGTAAATATGAATAAAATAAATCTAACTATAAAATAGAAACTTGAGAGAAAAAAAAATGTCTTATTAGTAGATGAATTTTGCACTTTTGCACTTTGTATTGGCTGATCTTAAAATTTTATAATAATAACAGTTAGAAAAATATAGGGTTTATTTGAAATTGAAACGTAGACTTATAAAATATGATTTAGAGCAAAACTAAAAAACGCTCACTATTATTTTTAAAAATTTTTAAAATTTGGTAGTCAATTCATGAGAAATTATTTTATAAATCTCTCTATTTCTTAGGCCGCAATCTGGAATATTTACAAGTTTTTGAAAACAACTAAAAACAATTACATTTATTCTGTCAGTTCAATAAAATCAATTTATTCAATTCAATTTATTGATTTAGCGACTATAACGTAACTGTAGGATGATCTCAGTCTGTTTAGAAAATAAAGTTAATTAAAATAAATGTGTAAAAAGTTACAGGGCAAGAAAACACCTAAAAACGCTTGAATCCTGGCATCTAAAAAGTCCAAAATTATTATGCAAACTTTGTATGTTTCTTGCGCAAAGCAATAGGTATAAGACGAAACGAGAACATTTGCGCCTTGACTATCTGTTGTCAGCAAAGCCTATCTAAATAATGGCTCTTCTAAAGTTAACTTCGCTCAAACCACGTTATGTCACCCAAAATCATTCTCCGGAGTATAGCGGGAAAGATTTAAAGTTGTAGCGGCAACTGCTTATCTGTGGCAGATAACTGAAACTACATGAATTATGCACCGAATCGGATAACAGCGTTGAATTTCCCAACTTTAAGAAAATCAAGCGCTTATGGGGATATCAAAAGTTTTCTTCGGTATAATTTTAACACAAGATATACGCCCTGGGGTACATAAATAAATGAGCGATTTAGAACAGTTTAAATTTTCCTAAAACAGTACAATATAAAGGAAAACTCTTCAGTTTACTGCGGGGTTGTTGTTACAAAAAACTGAGTTGAAACCAGTTTGTTGAGTGCACTCGATTCAAAATGCTAAACATACAACAAGTTTCCAAATTTCATCAATATTCCTAGCAGGCCTCTGGGTACAAAATATGTTCAACACATACTTGTATTCGTATCGGGCACGCTTTTTATACCTGTTTATTCCCTGAAATATTAAGTATATTCGGCAGTTTCTTCTTAGGATGAGGGCTTAGAATCTGAACTTTGATTCCAGTAGGTTTATTCGAAAAATAGATATTTTAAGATGTAAGCAGGTTTTTACAATACATAAATGTATTGTGGACCATTTATTAGCCGGAATTAAAACTTTTAAATTTAATTTGAATTTTTGGCAAAGACAAATGGATTAAAATGCTGACCATTTTTAGTTTGGAAATTAAAAAAACATTCTTGTTACCAACACTATAGCCAAAGTCTGAGTCGACCTTTGCTAACTACTTGATGAATCATTACACTCAAATCCTAAAATGTTAAATGCCATCCCCTGGCTTCCCAGATAATGACTGATAATTAATGACAATGATTCGCAGCCCCTTTTTAGAGCACGAAGGAAAGGTCAAAAGAAGTTCGCAACTTCTCAAGCTTTCAAGCAAGATATCGTGTCTAATTACTTCAAAAATTCCTAACCAAGTTTAATATCTTTACTTCCTTATACTTGGGAAGTTGTTGGTGATTAAATCAGGTTACTTTTTGTTTTTATTAGCACGGCTCACAATGTAACTTGTTAAGTGCTTCATTTGCATTCTTCTGACTGTATTTTTTAAATGCTTTAAATGTGTCTGAAAACGGTTCTCTCTTTTACGAATTTTTCTTGCAGTTTTTCATGCAAAGATTGCAGAAATGTTAGTCTACGTTCGCCTAAATATTATAAAACTAAATATGGTTTATTATTTATTAAATCGAAATAGAGCAACGACGCATGTAGTGAGTAGAGAAGGTACAGAAGCAAACTCGTTTTGTATTTGTTAATATCTGAACTACTATCCAAAGTATTGTTTTTATTTCTTTCAATTCAACAAAGAATTAAGCTCTTTAAAAGCAGAGTTTTAATAGAAGAGAAATCTAACAGCTTTGTATACTTGTATTGCAAATAAATTACTGCAATGTAAGTTGAACTATACAGGGTTATTCACGCTATACGGCACGGAAGTTTGCGGCTAAACCGTTTGATTTTTAAAAAGTATTATTTGATGAATTGTCCGACGCCTACCGGGCGCACATTTTTAAAATATTTTCGTAATGTACAGGGTGTCCCAAAAGCTCTAAAAGTACCAAAGTTGCGTTTTTTTAATGGAATGTCCTGCATCTTATAGAATTTTTGGATTCAAGCCAAGAACCATTATTTGGTGTATTTTGTAAAAAGGCAAAAACTTAGTTATCAACATCCTAGTACTATTCGATAGGCAATTAAAAATTGTATTTCCTCGTAAGCTAAAAAATATGGGGTTGTATTTAAATTAATCAAGTTATAGCCACTTAAAGTTCTTATTTGATTAGTTTCAATTTGTGGACCCCCTGTATAAAATGGTAAGTTTATTATCATTGGGATATAAAATATGATTTCTTGTTACACCAAACTACGAATTACATCTACATAACTTAAATAATTCTAAAGTATTTGACACTTGAAAATAATATTAGATTTTGATAAAATTCGAATTATTTAAAAATCCTTTAGATTTAGACAGTATAAATCTTATTACAAAAAACACTTATTTTGATCAGAGAATCTAAAAATGCAATAATATATAGGGTATTTCATTTAGAAAAACACAACTTTGATACTTTTAGGGCTTTTGGTACACTCTGTACATTACAAAAATATTTTTATAATGTGCACCCGACAGGCGTCTCTGGATTCATCAAATAGTACTTTGCAAAAAACAAACGGGCAAGCCGCAAACGTCCGTGCCGTATAGCGTGAATAACCCTGTATATAATTGTTCCAATAAGTAACGCCGTAAAAAATATTGATTTTATGCAAAAGTTTAAGAAACATGAATGGAATATTGATGGATATGATGAATTAAAATGATTAAAAAAAATTGTACAAATCATTTTTCAGTTTGTCAACTATTTTTCTCTTTAGTTTAGAAATAATCAATAGAATACCACTTCAATAGAGGATGATTTTCCTATGAAATATTTGCACTTATTTTAGAGAAGTCGATATGTTGGGGTGTTTTCTATCAGAAGCTTTATGGATGTCCATACAAATGCATGTTGCTTTCGAGGTGTGCTGCTTGTATTTTGTTAATTAATACAAATAGTTCATTTTTAAGATGTTTATTAATGTTTCATTAATACACTATAACAAAAATAACAACATGTTGCGAACTAAATAACTACATAACATTTACAACGTAAATTAAACTTTCGTGACATTCAGGTACAATTTGTTAGTTGTCTCCATCAAAAATACTCCACGTTTCAATTTTAGGGGCATTGGTGTTTTGCTGTTTATCGTTATTTTATAGTCTCTCACTACCTGCATTAGCCCAATTGAGGTTTGCATCAAACCAAAACGTTTACCTGAAACAATTGAATGCAGTTATTCCAAAATCTATGAAAAACTTGAGACTTAGATTCAAACTACGCATTCCAAGCAAGTAGAATTCAACTTAATATTTTTCATATGTTTTTAAATGCCTTACCGATACAATTTCTTGGGCCGTCTCCGAAAGGTATGTATACGGACTTATTAATACTTTCTTTGCTTTGAGGACTAAATCGGTCTGGGTCAAATCGCTCAGGATTCGGATAGTTATCAGGATCTCGGCCTAGTGCAACTAGTGGAACGACCACAGATACACCTTTTTCAACAGTAACGTTACTGTCTTTAAAAGTATATGGTTTCACGCAGAATCGGGCCACGTTTTGAACTGGCGGATACATCCTCAATGTTTCTAAAATCACAAAACGAAACGTTTATATCAATGAATAGAGTTATAGGGTTTAAAGCCTATTCGGAATTTTTTTGTAATGAAAACTCACCGTCGATTACTTGTCGAAAATACGTCATATCTTGAACAGCTTCATATGTTAAAACACCACCATGTTTTTTAAGCACATTATTAATTTCTTCTCTAGTCTTTTCCTGTACATCCGGATTTCTAGCTAGCTCGTATAATACATTATGCATTGTAGTTGACGAGGTTTCAAATCCTAAAAAGTGTTAAGTCTAAATTTTCGGAGAAAAATGATATTTAACGGTAAAAACTGTTATACACTGCAGAACATGTTTAAATAGATATAAAAGTTTCAAAAGTTTGACGGCAGCAAAAGAGTATATAAGTTTTATTAGATGGTTATCTGCTTAGTAATTCAAATGTTGATGTAAACTTTAGCGGCATAAAGAAAAGTTGATTAATATATTTTAAAAGTTACCAACAGAAAATGGGAAAACGAATTTTTAAATTATTCTTCACTTTCAGCTCTTCATATTTTCTATCCTTAAATTGGTTCATAAACTTTGCACTTTTTTTGAGAAATTTGTATAAAAAATAGGTATTTCAAAATTTCCATTATGAAGTATGAAGTTGAACGAAACAAAGATGAATTAAGTGAAACCAAAGTTTGATCTAAAAGTGTTTGAGCTTTAATAGAGACGACTAATAGTGGCAGAACAGGAGAGAGCCCATCAAAACTGATAAACACTGTGAATAAAAAAGTTTTAAACTTTGAGAATAAAATAATAGTTAAGAGAAATTCTTTAAAATAAGATTCTCACAATTAAGTGTTTTTAATTTTCATCTCTATACATACATTTTTATATTATTAACACGTATTTTCGTAAAAATCGAGCAGAAGATTTAAAAAACACAATATATCAAAAAAAGTACGTCAAAAACACTGTTGGTTAAAAAGGGTTTTTACTAGGCATAGATTAGCGATGAACAACTGACTTTGAATGTTACGAAAATGTCTTATTTCTTACTGATTTTGTTTCTGTGCTCTACATTTATATAATACCATCGCTTTCTGAATAATTTCACAAGCTTTTTTATCATCCCGGTCTGCAATTTTCAGTTCATCTAAATCGTTACTATCCATATTAGCTATACAAACCTGCTATGAAAAAGGCAATAACATTTCCAACAAAGTCGTCGAAACTGAATCCATCGTCTTGCCCTTTGCTGGACTCATAAAGATCAAGGAGTAGTTGCATCAGATCTATTTTTCTAACGTTATTTTCTTGACGAAATCTTGCATTTTCCGTAATCACTTCAGAAAAGAACTCTGTAACACTTTCCGGTATAACACGCATCCCAAGAAACTGCGCAAGCTTAACATTTATTCTGCCGACAAGTAAATGCATTTTAGTTTTAAGACTTGATTCGAACAGTTTCTTGCCAATAACGCGAAATTTAGCATCTTCACTGGTGAAACTACCAGCGTCTAGTCCAAATGCTACGCAACCAATAACGTCTGTAGTGAACATCGCAACTACCTAAAAGAATGGATAACATTTTCATGAATTACCGTGTTGATCTGTTTATATATTGCCTTAATTAAACAAACGTCTGACATCGAATAAAGAATAAAGTAATTTAAAAATGTTCAAACTCGTGAATAGGATTTGATAGTTTTACCTCTTTTATATCCATGGGATCGCCAGATCGAGAATTTGTCTGAAACAATTGCATCATTGGATCTGCACATTTGTTTACGAGCTCAAACATGATTCTCATTTTAGCTGTTGAGAAAACTGGCGTCAGTCGCTGCCTCAATTGTCTCCACTCCTCATTTTCCGCTACAAAAATACTTTCGTTTTTAGGATCGTGCTTTGGATTGTGGAAAAAGTCTCTATCCGTAAAGTGATTGAAATCCTAAAAAAAAAATACTGGTCTTATTTCCTCTCTCTTCTCGTTAGCACTGTTGAACAGTGATGTGAAACTACGGTCTATTAGGAATAAAACCTGATTACAAACCTTGACTAAAACACTCTTGATGTAGTCTGGATCCACCACAAGCAAGACAGGATTTGAGTAATTCCATGCTCCTATGAATTTATGTCCTTTCTGCTTCGCTTCTTTATACCAGTCCATCGTTTCAAGACCATAAGAGAAGGATTCAGTGCCGAAGCAATCATTGTTTCCTAGAGCAAAAATCCAATAGTTCAAAAATCTCAAAGACTAATTAAGTCAAAGTGAAAGCTTATTTAAAATATAAATGTGGATATATATTTGAACGGTTTACGTGTGTGTTAAATTATTTTTTTTGTAAATTTCCTCGCAAAATCGCCCTTTAATTTAAGGTTTATTTGTTGTTGAAAGTTGAAAAGTTGAAAGAAAATATTAAATGCAAAAAGAAAATTTAAGATATAGTAAATCAAAAAATAAGATTGATTTGGAACACGCGACGAACAAAAGAATTTTAAAGCATCTAACAAACTGACTAAGAAAAACAAATAACTCCGATGGCATAATAGATACGTAATAAATGTCGTGAAATAAAGTCAAATTAAAACTGCACCATAAAAAATGGTATTTCTTAATTATATTCTCGAAATTGTATAGATTTAGCAAAAGAAAGAAAGACAAAACGCCAAAAAAGAGTTAATAGCGTTTCAGAAATAAATATATAAGGCTGCGGATTAATCGAAACTAATAGAAATGCACAAATGAGGCGAAAAAAATAGCAACTAACGAAAGAGCTTAAAAACAAATATATATTTGACAAAGCAAATGCCCAATAATAGAGACAAACTGTTTGGAAACAGGATTAAATGTTGTGCACAGTGCAAGCATAGCAAAAAACCAAGAATTGGAAGAAGAAATTTGAGAATTGCTTTTCGTATATTAGACAAGAAAAATTAAAAGAAAATTAGCAATACAATGCCTGATTTTCATTCAATTAATAACTTTATATATAATTGGTTCTATTAAGCAAAACTTGAAAAATATGTATTAAATTAAATCCTTTGTTCCTTGCTAAAATCCATTCAACCAAGAGAGCTTAGAAGAATGTGTAAATTTTGCTACAAACACGAGGTTAAACATGAAAAAGCATCAGGAAAAGGGAAATTTGGGATCAATGCCCATCCAAAAACAGAACGGTTTTTATATAATATAATAATTTTTAGTACGTAGATATTTCAAATGACTATAAATGTGTAGTTTGTAAATATAGATATCTAGTTTTTTTGAAGAAAATAAATTTTAGACAAAATAAGGCGCAATAATAGTTTACTTATTTTTTAAAATTCCATATCTGATTGCAGCAGATTTTAAGTAAGGGGCTAGAAACGCCGGTTTATTCAAAGTTGCCATTTCAAACAGCCCATGAAATTAAATGTAAACTCTATTTTTTTGCAAAAGCTCTTGCTCATCAGCAGACCATTCCACAAATATTTTTCGTTAATGAGCAATTAATTGAGATCAAACAAGTAATGATTAATTGTATGAAATTAAAAAAATAATATAACTTACCAAGAGGAAATTTGGGCTTTATGTAAGGAGCGCCTTTTCGTTTCCAATAAGTAAACGAATAGCTAAAGTACACATACACGCACAAAAACAAACTAACTAAAGTAGCTGAAATATACAAGAGTAACTGAGGAAGAAGACCTAAGACCGTCATTATTCAATTTTAATTCGCATCTGAATGCAGATCACGTTGAGTTCTTCTTTAAATATTAGTGGCTCTAGTTGCTGATAAATAAAAATTGGAACCAAGATACTATTTTAATAAGACGTAAATAGTGAAGTCATTTTGTTCGGTATTATTTAATAGACGAGTTTGCGCACTTTGAATTACAGACGGTATATAGTTTATACAAAGTGAAAGAAAAAAGCATGACAAAACAAAACGAATCCCATCATTAAAATAATAACACATTTTTCTAAATAATTCATTTATAAATACATAGAAACAGATAGTTACTATTGTATGATTAGTGCATTTGCTAAATCACACATTTTAATTGTTGCCGGTAAAGGTCACACTGTATTATGAGGTCAAAATATGTATCCGTTTTTAATCACAACTCGGAAAAAAAATCGGACTGTTTATAACTAACTATGAATGAAATAGCAAACAATAACGTTTAGTCTGTTTGGTCTAAAAAATGAATTTTATACACGGTGCTGCAAAAACAAATAATTCACTCCATATCAGATTCTTTTTATTTTCCGCAATTCCGCGGTGAAGATGTTTGATAAGCTTACAACAAAGTTCGTTTTTGAAAAATGCTGCAACATTCAAATAACTCATCGTTAACGAAATAAATTGAATTCACCTCAAAATATACATTCATCGTAAGAGTAGAAACGACATCAATTAATACTCATAAATTAAGGTTATATTAACTATTATTTTAAGTTATTATTATTATTGTATTATAAAGTTTTTAAATTCAGAGCACCATTAAATGAACAATTTTATTAAATCTCAGTATAGCTCAAACTATTGCGCTAATAGTATAAAGTTCAAGTGCATGCACTCAGCCTGAATCAAATAGTTTTAATATACTTCAGATTTTCTGCGTATTAACGCAGTTTTTTTTATAAATCACTTAAAGTTGACAACCGCTTTTCATAATGTGATTCTTGAGGGTTGTTTATAAAATAAATGCCCTTATTCTGTTTACCAAATGTAGAATTACATAAATGCACGTTAACTGTGCAGCAAATAATAAACAACTCAAAATAACCAGTCATCTTTGGTGCTTTCAAACATGCATTTAAATAATATTTATTTTAAGTGATTATGGTCCATGGCCCTCATCACATTGTGAAAATTCAATAATAATGAGGTTAATGAAGCAATGCGTGTACTTAATATTCAACTAAAAATCTATTTGTTACGTCGAAAATAAAAACACGCATATGCTTCGTATTAATTTCATATAATTAGTAACAATGGATAAAGTTCAAACAGAAATTCAAGTTGTAAAAGTAAAATTGATTTATACATCAAATCCTGAAGTTTACGAAAAATGTAACCAAAAAATATTGGTCATTATTTATATAAAAAAAATTAAATATTTCTTTTTGCAGTTCTGTTGTAAGTGAAATATTATCTTAAACGTCATAATAAATTGTAAGTATATAAATGTACACTTTATGCTGCATCATCTTACAACAATATTTAAATTGAATTTAAAAATTTTTATAAGGTGACTCTAAATAATCCAACAATTTAGAATAAAATTGCAGTTGATCGAAGTTGATGTCGGAAAAGTTGCCCATAAATTATTAGAGATAAACAGTATCGTCGAATCAAGAAGTATGTTAAGGTTTAAGTTTTAATTTCCCATTAGTTAATTAATTAAATTAAAATCAATGTAAAGTAGGGTTTCGTGACTTTCCCGGGGAAGATTCAATATTATTTTTTATTTAATATTGATATTTGATCAAAATTAAGTACAGAATCTAATATATGAAAAATGAGGATTTTATAAAACGTATTTGGGAAAAATTCCTTCAAATGTGTTTAGATGTTTTTTCTTTTGAATTCTAAGATCCCCTTTGTTAGTTTTTAGGTAATGCACTGAAACCCATATTTTTAAACATGGGTAGACATTTTCCAAGACGTAAATGTAAAAAAATAATGTATCAAGAATTATCGAGAGAAGAAAACGAATCTACGAAAAGCTTGTTAAAAGACGACAACGTATGCATATTACAACAAAGGTTATTAATTCAAATAAGAAAAAAAGAAATATGCCAAACCTAAAAAAGTCGCGAAAAGCACAATATAACAGATTAGTGGCGTACCCAAATTATTCTCATGACACTTAGGAGAGGAGGAATAGGAAATATAATCACAAAAGACGAAAAAAAAACTAACAATAAAAAAATCGATTTACACGTTATCAAATTCGCTTTTGATAGGGAACAATTAAGCGGCATAAGGAAGTGTAGATCTGCAAAAGGCGTTTGGCTCACAATTGTCTGATGTTCCGACACCGACTTAATACTGATGGATAACGATAAAACAGGGAGGTTCTTTAAGTTATGTCGTGCAACGCATACGTTTTGTAGCCCTTTTTGCTCAATACGAAGAAAATTTACATAAATTCTTACATCAATTTGCTCAAAGAGCGAATACGAATAGCGAATTAAACCTAAAACGACCCAGATCAAACACCAAATGATGAAAAAAGTAAATAACTCCTAACATACATTACATTACGAGGAAACTAAAGGCTCAGGCAAAAAAAGATGAGAAAATTTAACAATTTGTTTTTATTAAATTGATGTTGAAGAGGAAGGAGAACATGCACATAAGCAGAATGATGGGAGAATAGTTAGAAAGGCATCGGGCAAAGCTCGCCTAGGACGCAGAAATCTATAACAATTAATCTAAGAAGATGAAAAATGGAAGTTTCTTTGATATTTTACTTGGGAAAAATCTTAAGGATTCATGAAATTGAGTAAATTTCTTCAGTTCAAAAATGTTACAATCTTGAGTTGAGAAACATACTTGTTGTACAACAGCAGCAGTTTATAAAACTTTTAGCTGATGCCTTACTTTATCCATTTAAAAAATATTGATAATTCTAAGCTTGGGCGGTTCAAGAATTCAGAAAACTGCCACTCAAAGGACTCAAACCATGGCTACCCTGTAAGCTGTTACTTCGATTTGTGTTCAATGTATTGAATATTGATAGATTGTCGATAACAACTTTTTCAGTTTAATAATAATATTTTGAGAAACCTTTACACTTTCCCATGCAAATATAAACTTATAACTTTGTCTTCATTGCGTAATTACAGTGTTGAATGTGAAGCAAAAATCCGAAAACATGAAAAATGTCCAATCATTAAAATGTCAAAGATGGTATAGTAAATTTGTTCTAGACATTATTTAGTAATCAGGCTTGGTTTATGGGGAAAATATTTCAGAAAATTGAATAATGAAAAATATTTAATTTGCATCAAAAACAAGCTGATAAGATTCCACTTTAATATTATTTTTAGTATTATAAACTCTGTAACTTGTAACAGTTTTATGGATTTCCTGGGTGGAATCATCCGATTTTGCGGGTGGATCCCACGTTTTAAATGTGTGACTCTCCGTCCTACAGATACCGCTAATAATTTCCGAAATAAAAATGCCACCATGTCCTCCTTCTACTCCATGAAACTGTTTCTTCCAAATGATGCTTCTCCTTTTCCGTCCATTCCTTCCCAGTATCTTCACATTGCATCTTCAACTACTAGATATCCATTTTTCCCATATAGCAGGCATTTCAACTATTATTAACTTTTATTTGTTATCGGGCGCGTGTTTAGGACAAGTGAAGTTCAAGTGATAAAATAATGTTCACTACATCATGGTCATTAGCAAACATTTTTACGCATTGTAAACTAAAAAAATCGGGGAGTGTATATCACAAATTGTTGACAAAGTAACATGCAATTAAATATTTTGACACATTGTACCCGCAATGTTTAATCTTTGAACCAGCAAAACAAGAAAGTTTGCAACTCACGCAACAATCTACAAGGACATGACATTTGTTCTTTAGATAGCTACTTATTTGTTACTGTCACGATACATGAGTTGGACAATATGGCAAGTTTTGTTACAGTATACTTTACCTATTGGAAATGCGTGATTTCGTTCAAGACAACTTGGAACACGCGAAGAAGAATTATGATTAGTTGAGTACTCTTAAAGCTCTCACTAATTTGAAATATTTAATATTTAAAAACGAACTGTGTTCCAGAAGACCTTCCTGGAGATTCGTATGAGAGATTGAATATGGAGGGCAATCGAGGCAAGTTTTAAAAAACAATTGATTAATTTTAGTTTTTATCAGTGTAAAATGGGAAAAATCGTTTTAGAGTGTTTAAGGTATTTAAATTAGTTTAAGAAGAACTGGAGTTCAAAGAATGATGTCAGCTCCAATAAATACTTCCATTAATCAAATTCTCAACATACAAACGCGTGAAAAATTCTGCTGTGCAAAATTTGAAATACTATACAGGGTTGCTCATTAGTGCGTCAAAGT